CCAAGTTGATTCCGCCCTCGACCCGAACATGAAAGTTGCTCCATTTTGAGTCCTGAACATGGTTCCATCAATGGTTTCTTGAACGAGCAATCCCATTGCTTATTTTACTTGCTTTGAGTCCCGAACATGGTTCCATCAATGGTTTCTTGAACGAGCAATCTCATCGCTTGTTTCACTTGCTTTGCCCTTGATCGCGTCATTGGTCTGCCATCGACTATCATCGGGTCTCGTCTTGCACTCGCACTCGCCTTCGTCGGGCTCGACTCCTGGATCATATCAGTTATTCTTTTGCAAAGAATTCATCTCTTCCTGCATAGCCTTCACTCAACTTTGTTCATCCTTATGAGATTCTACCTCCTGAAAACATTCTGGATCCCCCTCATCAGTTACCAACGCATAATCTGATACTGGATACCTGGTTGATGGACGATGCTCCCTGGTAGATCTTCTGATCTTAGATTCTGATTTAGTAGGCTACTCTCCCTGCTCAACATCCTCTAAATCATCCTCATCAACCCTTGCTAGCTCATCAGCATGATTGTCAACGTGTGTATCTATCCCCTGAGTGACACTATCTACAGGTAAGGAGACAGGTGTAAGGTCAGTGACACCCTCAATAACACATCTTTGATTCCCAGATTTCTCAACAATTGCCAACTTCTGATTTTCATGAAAAATCACATCTCTACTTCTGAATATTTTCTTCTTTTTTGGATCCCAGAATCTATAGCCAAATTCTGCATCTCCATGGCCAACAAAAATGCAAGGACTAGTTTTATCATCTAATTTCAATCGTTGTTCCTTAGCCACGTGTGCAAATGCTTTGTACCCAAAAACCTTCAAGTGAGAATAAGAACATCTTTTCCTGTCCACAATTTTCTGGAATTTCAAAATCCAAAGGAGCTGATGGAAACCGATTGATTAGGTAGCACGCTGTTTGAACTGCTTCACCCCAGAATGACTTAGGTAACCTAACCATCCTTAACATATTTCTGACCTTTTCTACAATTGTACAGTTCATTCTCTCTGCCACACCGTTGTGCTGTAGAGTACCAGGAACTGTCTTTTCATAGCTAATACCGTGTTTTGAGCAGTAATATTTAAACACTTTAGATGTATATTCCCCTCCGTTGTCAGTTCGGAGACACTTCAAAAGCTTTCCCATTCCATCATGGCATGGAATTTCTTAAAGTACTGAAAAACCTGGTCTTTTGATCTCAAAAAGAATACCCACAACTTTCATGAAGCATCATCAATAAAAGTAAGAAAATACTTATTACCACCTAAGGACTCCACCTTAATGGGACCACAAACATCAGAATAAATCAAATCTAAAATATTAGATTTTCTACTAGAGGATTTCTGAAAGGATACTCTATGATGTTTACCAAATTAACAATAATCACAAGAATTTAATGATGTACCTTTGGTAAAAGGAATGAGAGACTTCTTTGCCAAAATCTATAATCCTTTCTCACTCATGTGAGCCAACCGCTTATGCTATAAGTCTGGTGAAGAATCACTTTCAGTTGCATTTACCGCTTCACTACACACCTTTACTTGTGTCTTGTAAAGTGTACAATAAACCTTTCCTCTAGCAAATACCATTGACCCTTTTGTTAGTTTCTATCTTCAATTGCCAAAATAACTGTCATACCCTGCTTCATCAAATGCATGTGTAGATAGCAAATTCAAGCGCATGTCAAGAACATGTCACACATTCTTCAATGTCAAGCTGCATCCAATATCTGTCTAAAGACAAATGTCACCAATTCCCACAATACTGGCAAAACTGTTATTACCCATCTTCACTCTACCAAAGTTACTTGATTTATATGAAGTGAAGAACTCCTACCTTGGAGTAACATGGTAAGAAGCCGCTGAGTCAATAACTCATTCAACAAATGAATCTGTAACATGACAACACTGCTCATCTTCAGCGAAAAATACTGCTACCACTACTTCTTCTTCTTCTAAAGCCCCAGCTGTTGTATTCTGATCAGTCTTCTTCTGATTTTTCTCCTCTTTTAATTTATTTTTCCAAGCCATGCAATGTTTCTTTATATGACCCTCTTTGTTACAATAAAAGCATTTGACATTTCCTCTTATCTTTGACTGACTTCTGAAATTACCACGTCCTTTAGGACCTCTGCTTTTACTCCTACCTCCTTTCTCTGTAATAAGAGCCTATGCATCATTCCTACCCAAGTATTTTCTTCTTATTTCTTCATTAAACAAACTATCTTTAACTAGAGTAAGTTCCAACACACAATTCGGAGCGGAGTTACTAAGTGGTACCACCAAAGTCTCCCAACTATCAAGCAATGAACTCAAAAGTAATAGTGCTTGCATATCATCATCTAGCACTATTTTCATTGTGGTTAGCTGATTTATCAAGTCTTGGAATTCACTCAAATGCTCAGCAACTGATTTTCCCTCCTTTAACTTCAGATTCACAAGCTTTCTAATAGCAAAAGCTTTATTTTGAGCAGTCTTCCTCTCATAGAGACTCTCCAGTTTTTCCCAAAGACTATGTGCATCTGTCTCTTGAGATATATGATGGAAAATATTAATGTCAACCCACTATCTAATATATCCAATGGCTTTCCTTTTCATCTTCTTCCAGTCACCGTCACTCACATTGCTTGACTTAGCACTATCACCTTCAATAGATTCATGTAAATCCTTACAATACAAGATATCCTCTATCAAAGGCTTCCATATAGAATAATTTGAACCCGATAATTTAATCATAGTGCCCGAAGTATTTTCCATTTATTCCGCAATAAAATCACACCCACACAACCTGAGCTTTGATACCACTTTATTGGACAATTTAAATTATTGCAAGAGTAAATTTTTCAATCCAAGCAATTAACTAGAATGATTAACTATGCAAATAAATAATCCAAGCAAAAATAAGAAAATGCAACACCAAATTTTTACGTGGAAAAAACCCTAATGTAGAGGGGAAAAAACCACGGGACAACTCCGGCCAAAATTCACTATAATAAAATATAGATTACAATTATTCAAGTTTATGCCCCAAAACTTGAATTATCCACAAATTGGAATACCACAATAATTAATCTCTAAGACCACAAATTTATCTCACCACAAATCAACACTATGATTAAACTTGTGAGAACCCACTATGAATACTACGTCCATGAAGTACCCAAAATACAACTTAGAGAAAATTCCAATTTGTTCTTAAATAGAGAAGAAAAACCTGTGTGAATCCACACCAATGTTGAAAGAAATCTTTCTCTGGCAATCACAATTTTCTGCTACAGTAAAAGCCGTTTATTTCCTTCTCTTCCAGCCATTTTTCTCTCAGCAATAGCAGTTTCTATGTCTCTCAATGAAAGCCCTCATTTTTTGACTTTTCAATGGAAACCTCTATTCTGTGTCTTACAATTCTTGCCCTTGCTTTTGTCTCTTAATCTTGACAACAGATTTCAAGAGAGAGAAAGACATATATATATTGCCACAGCA